AATATAGTAATAATTTTTAATATTATAATTATTCATACATTTCCGATAATAGGTTTTGGCCTCGTTTTAAAAATGAGTTTCTTGGTAATAATGTGTTTAGCGACATACTCAGTTTGATTATCTTTTGTTGAAACTTTATTCTTCACTAAAAGGGCATAGGGCTTGTCTAGTGTGACCTCCTTCCCGTGCAACAGGTGGTGTCCTATTAGGAGAAGAGGAGTTCCCGTTTTGGTAAAGTGCAAATCGCCAATGAATTGACCTTCAAACGGCGAATCACTGTGAGATTTCAAATCACCCTGTAGTTCTATTATGGCCCATGTAGAATTGTTTTCTTTATCTGTTCTAAAAAATGGTAGTAACTTCTTAAAAAGTTGTACAACTATTGCGAATATACTAAAATTGAAAAGTTTATTTTTTTAAAATTAAACTCCAATTTCTATGTAAGTATTTATGTAAACGTATTTTATTTAAATTACAACGACATAAAAACGCTTAATAAGCAATTATAAAAATAATAACCAAATACCATGCTTAATATTAGATAAAATAAAGGCCATTGCCGGGGTCTTCCACCTCTACAATTCACTAAAATTTTTAATGTCTGAACTTTTTAAAGAGAGGATGCTTCACTGCTGTTGAAGACGATGCACTCTTTTTGTATTCGTAATAAACAGCATCATCTGCTCCAGACATGGAGCTTAAATGGCCGGCCCTCCTTGTGGCACTGCTTCCTCCTCTTGGGCCCCCTTCGCCGGGAATTTTCTCGTCTTCGCAATCAATATCACTTGCAGCTAGTACCTAAATAAATAGCAATTTAAAATAAAAAAGATCTTATTGCTTTAATTAAATTCTTACTTGTTGTAACAGTTGTCCCTGTTCTTCCCTTGTTTTGTACATTAAGTCCGGTTCCTCTTCCATGCCAGCAAGCTTTGTAATTACTTTATAACTGTATCCTTGATTTATCAAAAACCTTTGTCGTTTTCTTGAATAATTCATCTCCATGGTGTCTTGAGAAACGAGGGTATAAAAGAAAGCGTTGTATTCTTCAGCAATGGCTCCTTTTTTAGCTCGAAGAATACGCCCCAAACGTTGCGCTTCCTGCCTCCTGGACCCACCATGGGACGAGATCTGTACCAAGACGTTAGCTTCTGGTAAATCAAAAGAAGTGTCAGCCACTTTACTGACAAAGATAGTGTTGACTTTCGGATTGAATTTGAAGTTTTGTAAAATTTGAATCCGTTCACTTTGAGTGGTGGGACCATAAATGTAAGGCTTGTTCATTTTAATTGCGTAATGCTTTAAAGCAAATACGTTATCAGAGAAGACAATGGTCTTGTCTCCTCTTCTTTCGTGGTATCGAATCAGGTATTGGCATGCCCGAAACTTGTGGGGGTTCATCACATATAGCAAAAGCCTTTTGCTCGTTTTACAAACGAGATACTCGCGATAGAATTCGGGAGTCATGGGACACCACACTTCAGCGCACTGGACTCTAGCAATGAACCCTCTTTTTTGAAGTTCCAACCAATTTGCTTCATACAATTTCGGTCCAATGAGAAAATTAAGATCTGCAATTTTGTCATCTTCTCTAAGTAAAGTTGCTGTAAGACCAAGTTTGCAATGGGACTGGACGATGGTTAAAACTCTTCTAAACATTTTGGCTGGAATAGTGTGGACTTCATCTAAGACCATAATCCCCCATTCTTGTTCTTGAAGCCACTTCATCGTTTGTTCTGCTTCCCATGAACGTCTTTGCGTATGGGTAATCATGGAATACGTGGTGACCAAGATGCTGCAGCCCATCGGCTTGTCTTTAGCTTCAGAAGTAAAACGACAAATCATACTATCGTCCGCTGTTGACCACATTTTGAATTGTTGTTTCCATTGTTCGACGGAAACGCCTGAATTACATAACACAAGAGCCCTTTTGCGTACGGTACAACAGGCCGTTACGCCTACTAATGATTTACCGGCACCACATGGTAAGACGATTACACCAGATCTTGCACGACCATTACCGAACATTTTGCGTAGACTTTTTTCCTGGTAAGGACGTAATACTGCTGATGGTTTTAAATCAATGTTAATGTCCGGATTGACTGTGTCGTTTCGAAAATCATATTCAGCTAAAAGAGGATGTTCAAGTTCAATACAGCGTTTTTGTAAGACTTCAATTTTTTCCTGGTTCACTTCGAAAGAAACAGTATTTAAAGCCGCCTCTTCTTCGTCGTCTTCCTCATTATCCATTTTTTCGTAAAAATTTGTGATATCATCTGGTACTACAGTGGTACTCTCCGTGCTCTGGTCAGAAGTACTAGGTTTTGTCCCAAAAGTTGGAATGCTTTTCTTGTCTTGGATCTTAAATATTTTTTTATACATGCAATAAACAACTTTCATAATCTTATGATTTTGATGAAATTAAATATAAATCTTCACCAAAATCACAAATATGGAATAAACTTTTAAGTAATAATAAATAACTTATATATGCTTACTTGTGTAATTAAACCATCTACATCGGACTCATTTTCTGCATTTCTTCTCAATCGACATTCTTGTATCACGGGATCTTTTAACAATTTCTGCAGCACCTCTGGGTAAGGACTCTCAACAAAATACTTATTATGTTTCAATACAAGCTTAACCTTTCCATAAGATAAAGTGCACAGTTTAATAAATTCCACTATGCCTTCAGGTACGCTTGTTTTGCTTAATCTTTTTAAATATTCAATAATGTCATGAGTCTGAAGTCCAACACTAACAGCAGCATACAAAGAATATGCAGTAAGTTTGTATTCATGAATAAATTCTGGCCTGCATACAGGTTCTGATATGGCTATCAAAAAATCATGGGCATGTTTATAAACAGGGGAAAATGATTCAAGAAATATATGTCCATTAGGAGCAACCCATAAAGGACGAGAATTGTGATCGGATTTCAATATCATTTGCGACCTATAATCTTTGGCTCCAAATTCATCTTCTTGAACGCCTTGATCATTATTTTCGGCATTACGACCTGCAGCCCCTGGTACAACAGCTCCTTCTACATCGTTAGAATCGTCGTCTTCCATTGCCCATTCTTCTTCATCGTCTTTTTTTCTTTTCTTAGGTTTACCTTCGTTCTTTGAGTAAAAACGTTTTGTAGGTGCCATGTTTAGGTTTCCAGAATTGGGCAATTAATTGAAATATTATGTTCCTTTGCGCCGATTTTCTTCGTTCTTTCAGTATATATACTTACATTTTTTCCGAACATAAATAAACTTAACTGCACTTATAATTAACCGGCAAAATTAACAGAAAAACAGATTATTCGTAACGTAACCTTCAATTTTAAACGTCAAAAGTGAAGGATTATACCGGAATGTGGCGACATCTGCTCAAAAACTGAGAAGGTTTATTATAGTTTATAATGTGTCGCTCCCGTAAACCTGAGAATCTATAATTATGTGTTAAGATACCGTTTCGAAATTTTAAAATAAATATATAAATTAAATTCATAAATTACTGATATTTGCATAGCATTGCCTTTCACTCCCAAAACATTTACAGATTTTTATAAAACACCAATAATAAACAATAGCTTCCGAGTAATTTGCGGAATCAATGTTAGTATTAAATTATTAATGTGAAAAATATTTTAAATTAAACTTACGTTTTTATTAATATCGCCATTCTTTACCAGACAGTATAAAAGTACCTAACTACGCAATAATATATTTAAAATAACAATAAAAACATCGACACATTGCAATCTACCATTGATGCAATCTACAACGAACGTAACCTATAGATATATATACTTAACCTCTCAATTTATTCTAACCAATTTTAGTATGCAACTTAAAATGTGATGTGTGATTACAATGTTTATGTAATAATAAGTTATTACATATTGGTCGTGCAAATATGAGTGCACCAGCAGTACATAACGTCAGGTTTTATAAACCTAAACCATATGCAGCTTACTGTATGGTATTGAAGAAGTCTGAGAATCTTCTTGCAGTAGGAAGGTAAGTACTTTTAATTCTCTTTTATAAAAGAGTAACGTGTTCTTCTATTTGTTTTTGATATTAATTTTTCAATTTCACTCAAAGGTCAGATGATAGTATTGAAATTTGGAATTTAAACAACGCCCCTTTCATTGAACGAAGAATACCCCCAATAGTAGATAATAATTACACTCAACAGTTATGCTGGTGTAACGATAGGCTGTTCAGTGTTAATTTGAATGGATTTTTAGTAGAATATGATTTATACAATTTAACTGTTAGGCATAAAAGTGCAGTAACTGGCGAAGCAGCATATTGTTTAGATGTAAATAACAGTAATTCTCAAATAGCTGTTGGTACTGAACAGGGTTATTTGAATATATTCTCAGTAAACGAGGACGTTTTGTTTGAAAAATTCTTGGACAAGCAAGAAGGCAGAATCTTATGTCTAAAGTATTTTCCAAATGGGAAATATATTGCATCCGGTAGCATTGACACTGTTCGAATTTGGAATGTAAAAAGTGGCCAGGCAATTCACAGAATCACTACAGGTCGGGCAGAAACAAATAAAGAAACAATTGTTTGGGATTTACAAGTTACATCCGAAGGTATCGTTATAAGTGGTGATTCAAGGGGGAAAATCACATTTTGGGATGGAAAGATCGGTTCTCAGATCGAAAGTTTTCAATCTCATAGGGCCGACATTTTATCAGTTTGCCTATCTAGTGACGAGAAAACTCTGTATTGTGCAGGTGTCGACCCATTAATTATTTCTTATGAGAAGGTGAAAGTTAAAGGTACATCCCAAAAATGGGTGAAAAGTATTCAAAGAAAGATTCATGATCACGACGTTAGATGTCTAATTCTGCTTAAAGATAAGCTTTATTCTTGTGGAATAGATGGATATTTGGCATGCAGTTATCATCCTCCCAAAACTGTTCATAAATTCCCTCCCCTGTTGCCCTCTTCATGTATCAGTATTAGTACAGAAAGAAAAATTGTACTTTTACAATATTCCCTGCAAATAGAATTATGGGAATTGGGTAAAGTAGACACGGGGAAAGAACAAGAAGGTCTTTTTAAGTTGGATTCATTACCAAAAAAACTAGTTCAGATTTTCAGAACGGTTAAGAATTCAAACAATGAGGAAGAAAATGAGGGAATTATTTGTTCTGCATTATCTAATGATGGGAAATGGATCGTGTTCAGCACAGATACGGCTGTTAGAATTTTTAATTTCAAATATGTGAGTTGGTAATGCAGAAGACATTCTATACTGTGAACCGTAATAAGTTGTTCACATTACATGGCTGTTATTATCAGCATTATATAATAAACATCTATAATTAATAAAATACATATAAAAGACAGCAACAAATGCATAAAAGTATAATAAAATATCTACTTGTTTGCTTCTAAGAATTTTTTATTTTTTGGATAAATAGTGGCTTTTTCTCTTAATCTTTGTATAACTACCATGTCATTTACTATCGTTTGTTGATTGACTGAATTAATACATTTAAAGCGTTTATAGCCATCTAATAAAACTGTACAATACTATAGTTCAGGACTAACAACGAATCGTGTACCTATCAACTGGGGAAATACCAAATATATCGGGGGTTTACAGAGAGGAGAAACAATAACGGCAAAATATCGATTTATAAAAGCCAATGAACATGCATTTCTGTGAGCGAAGGTTTAGCTTGTTCACGGTATACGGTGGCCTAGCATAATTAATGTGCTGTTCACATTATACGGTTTTTTTTCAAACTGATACAAGGACGTCTTAAAATAAGCAGTGAACAAATTAACCCATACAATTATCAAGGAAAAATAACTGTTTTCATAAATTCCTATTCAATTTCCTTTTATTCAATTAAAGTCTAAAAGAATAAAACTATTATTATAACTTATTACCAATATTTTCTATATTCTTATTTTTTTCAAGTATTAAAATATGATAGAATAGACCACAGTTAATAAAATAGCTACAATTTGGT